AACAGTAACGAAAAAAAAAAGCAAAAAATGTAGCCAGCTTTTATATACTAAAAAAAAGTTTTTGTTTCTTGACCCTCAAACCACCAATCTCCCTTTACCCATTAATCCACGCGTGGAAAGAATGAATGGTGATTATTTGGGTGCTTGAATAAAGCTTTTCCTATCATTTCCACGTGGCCAAAGGAGGAGAAAGTAAATTTTTTTTTACAAACATCTTGTTGTCTTCTCTTCCTTACACATGGCTCTCTCTTCATGCAAAGCACTCCTCCCATTGTCATACTCTTACACGTGGAAGGAAGGTGAAAATATTGCATTTAAAGAGACATGGCATTAACCAGTTACCACCCACCATCTCATTTACATGGGCTCATAAACACTTGGTACCTCATCAATTTCCTTTCCATGTGTAAAAGCTAATTTGATTGATGGTTGGAAAATGGCTTATGATACCCTGCTAATTACACGTGGAGCAAAATAAGAGACATATTTGCCATGTCACTGTGTGGTTTCATAAGCCCTCAAACAATCACATTGGCCCACCTCCCACTACTTATATACGTGGCTTAGTAGAAAACATGAGGTGGATGATTACTTGATTAATCATCTAGTTACCTACACTAACCAAACCATCTCCCCACTTACTACACGTGGAGAGGGAGAAGAGCAAGGTAAGCAATTTTCACCCACTCATTTAAGTTAAGGGTCATATGTGTTTCTTTCTTTATTCGATACAACCAACCAACCATTGCTCTTTACATGGACTAGTATCAATACCCACGGCTACGCCGCGAGAGATTTAGTAGCATAGTGAAAACAGAAAGAGTTGGATGTTATACAAAAAAATTAAGTACCATTTGTATTGTTAGGAAGTTAGACATTCTTGTTACGCACGACGAATTTACTAATTCTTATAGTATAAAGTTCTAGTAATTCTATATAATATAGCAGGCCTTCCATACAAATAACTACTCAGAAATGACAAATTCAGATGATCAACTCAATTCTTTGCAAAGTAATAAGTTCCAGCCATTGCCTCCAGCTTAAAGGGGACACAAAGTTGTGACAAAATCTTCTCCTTGCTGTGATATTCCCTCTACCTCCTGTTAGTAGCAACTAGGGCTGTTAATGAGCCGAGTCGAGCCGAGTTTTGCCATAGTTCGGGCTCGGCTCGTTATTATATTTCTAGGCTCGAGCTCGGCTCGTGTTCGTCACGAGCTTTAATATTCAAGCTCGAGCTCGGCTCGTGTATGAAAATGAAAGCTCGAGCTCGGCTCGTCAAATAAGCTTAACGAGCCCAAATTCGAGTTCAGCTCATAAAATGTTCATGATAGCTCAAGATTGACCTAGAACTGCGCACAAAATTACATTCAAACCTGTAGCAAAGTCGAGCAAAGTAAAACACAACATTTATCCCAATTTCAATACATAAAATCCATGAATTCTAATATTTTTATTATGCCAAACCATTAAATGAGCTTGTTCGCGAGCTTTCGAGCTGAACATGGTATGGCTCGAGTTCGGCTCGTTTAGTTAACGAGCTTGTTCGCGAGCCGGCTCGATTAAAACAAATCGAGTGTCGAACGAGTTTTTCTCGAGTCGCACACCGAGCCGTTCATGAGCGGCTTGGTTCATTAACAGCCCTAGTAGCAACTGCAAGTCAAGCCATATTGATGTGCAACGGCATAATAAAGAAGAATCTGAGAATCTAGAGAAGCCTCCCAGATGGTGATCCAGCATAGTTTCTTCTGACGCCTGCAAAACGAAACATTGTTTAAGAGGAGCAAAAACCAAATTAACTTCTCTAATAACCTACTTAACCATGCAATTGTTGGGGCATTTTTGAAGCTTCAAATTGCTTGGGTGCAACTTACACCCTGTTCCATTTTCAGTTCCCCCCCCATCCTCATCCTATTATGTTCTTCATTTTCTACCGAAATCACTACCAGAGCAACCACTAATAACCTTCTTAACCATGCAATTGTTAGGGCGTTTTTGAAGCTTCAAATTGCTCGACTGCAATTTACACCTTGTTCCATTTTCAATTCCCCCGTCATCATCATCCTGTTATGTTCTTCCTTTTCTATCGAAATCACTACCAGAGCAACCTGGATTTCATTGTGACAATGTCTATGAGAGAAGGGAGAAATCATTAAATAAAATGATGCTAATGATGAAGATTTTATAGTGAAGGTAAACAATTAGAAGACTTAATATTTCAAGATCTTTGCAAATACTTGAAACAGTTGTTTACATGTTACCAATATTTTTTTGTAAAAATATTTGTTTAATAGCTTTACCACGACAGAGAAAGGTCATAAAAAAACTTCTGAATAATTGGATAGTTGAGTTGATTAATTACTTATAAAACTATTGATTCAGTACACAAGGTGTGTCCATATTTATGAGTGCTTTAAGTTTTGGTGTTAGAGATGAAATGCTTTCCAATTAGTTATGTAACACATTCTAACATAAGAATACAGAAACAAAATTTTACCTCAATAGCAGCATCTAGTTGTAGAAGTACAAGAAGTTCTTTCAAGATGAGCAGCATGAGAAAATTGGGGTAGCTGCTCCAGTGGATCTGAACAACTGTTTATTGGTAAGGAATTTTTCGTCTAACAAATCCAAGAAGAAAACTCACATTAAACCATTACAAAAAAGGGAAAAAATTATTTCAATAATCTATCAAAGTAACTCACTCTCAAATGACCTTCCACACTTTTAATGCTTTAATGCAGCATGACAAATGAACATTGTAAATAAGAGATATAACCCAAGCTAAATTCGAATTTTGATGAAGTGAGCAGACTCAACATATCCTAGAAGGAAAAAGTAAAGCACAAAACAGACAAAGGAAACCCTCAGCACAGACCAAAAGGTATAGAGCTCACAAAGAGTGGTTGAGTTAGAGAATGCAAAGTTAATTACCATTTGGACACAATCATACAATAAACCATGTCCCAGAAAACTAATAACAATTTTTAAACGAACTATCATTAATGTTTACTTTTTATGAGAATTAGCGATGGAACATAGGAGTTACAATTATCCATATGATAGATTGTAAACAGTGTCAGTAGAAACACTTGAACCTTTGCCTAAGAGTTCAAACACAGTAGAAATATGGCTAACTCTAACAAAGCTAAAATCTCATCTCAGCAAAAATCTCTAAATAAGTATAAAACCCCAGGAAAACCCAGAAAGTCCCAATAATCCGAAGACTCAGTTTCACAGGCCACAAAAGCCATCAGGTTGCCGAAGTTAGCACACCCAAACCATTAAATTAGCAATTAACCACATGAACCTACCATAAGCAAACCTTAAAAGATTAGTAGGTTCCAAGAAGAATATAACCTTAAATCCCTTAGTACTGAAACCTGCAAAACATGCATCCAAAATCAAATTAAACAAAAATGAAGAAACATCATAATCTATTCCTAGAGATAGGGGTGGTGTTTACTGTCAAAGATAACTGTGTGTTAAGAGATAGAGAGGAGAAGAAGAGCTGTTATGCTAACCTTGGGAGTGCATTATGTGCTTAACATGATATTGATGATATGCAACATGGATGAGCATCACTCCCACCAAACTTGGGAAAATCATACGTCAACAACCGAACACCAAACTCTTCCATGAGTGAAGCGTTACCTCCACATAGTCCTACATTTTCATCAACAAATAGAAATCAGCCAAGATCATACCTATAGGTTTGAACCATGGACTACCATACCTGTATGGCTGGACGACAGAAAGTTGTGATGCATCCTCCCTTCCAACTTCGAAAACGACCCAACATTCAAATCTACCAATTGCATCAACCAGAAAGAGAAAAGAAATTCCCCAGTGAAGATTCTGAATATTATCCCGCTTTTATCATATGGTATTATTGAACAGTTCCATGGCTGGCGTTGGGAAAAGAGAAGTAGGTTCGAGAGGCAGAGAAGCAAAGTCCAGGTGGTGGTACCGGTTCCGACCAGCCATCCCATTCGTCGCACACTCCTGAGGCGTCAGCTGCAGACTCGTCGTCGACAGGGAGTACAGACCCCGGAAGCGGTATATCCTCTTATTTATTTGTGCAAACTTGTCGCCGCCTTCAGCAGCGTCATCGGAAGCATATCCATCGAACAGTTTGGTTGTGAAGAAGATATGAAAATTGAAGGGGAAATATTTTTTAAGTATCCATGGACTTGGACAAAAAAACTGGAAAAGGTAACAATACAGAGCTCACTAGGAGTCTCTTCTTCGACGTTGCAAAGGCGACAATCTTTGATAACAACGAACCCATTTCCTCTGCTGTTGTTTTGCGGGATTTTTTGTTGGATTGATTTTACGCTTTGGTCAGTTCTCTTGACCCTTGCTGTTTCTTCTTCTTTCTTCTATGTTTGCCTGTGTTCCATTTCTGCTCCTTTCCATATTTTGAATGAAAGCTTCACCTTCACGCAAAAAGTAAACAATCTCAAAATATAGAACTGTAGTAGAGATGAGACAAGAACATGGAGGCAGCAAGAACATGGAGGCAATGGGAGGGGATCATACCATTCATTCTCAAGTTTGTGGACATGTGCACAAAGACCTCCATCAACCGTGGTGTAGTCATCGACCGGAGGAGGAACCGAGAATTGGAGGTGGCAGCTGATTTATGTATGGATTTTTCTGAGCTCATTTTGGGGAAATAGGTAAGAAATGAATGAGAGCTAGGCAAGGGTTTCAGACTTTTGGTGGGTAAGAGGAAACATGTGGAATGGAGGTAAATGGACCGGAGAGGCAGAGAAGGAAAGGGAGAGCTGATGGTGCAGACTGGAAAGTTATTTTTCTAATTATGGAAGAAAATTGAGGCTTGAGAGTGGGAGTGATGTAAATGGACAGTGGAGAGGGAACCGAATGTGTGAAGAGATGATTATGGAAGAAATTTTGGGATTGGAAATGTGTAGGAAACAAGATTTCCTACAGGTTGGGAATTGGGGAATTTAGCTAGATCAATTAGGGATTGATCTAACTAGGGATTAGAATTGGGGATTTTGAGAACAAGAAGAGGGAAGGGAGGAGCTGCTGCCGCAGCTTTTGGAGCCAAGAGGGAGAGAGAGATTTCGCAGGAGAGAGGGAAGAGAGAGGTTCAGGATTTAGGTTTTTGGTTCTGTAATTGCTTAATCCCAAAATAAGACCCTATTACAGATTATATAACCTGTCTAATTCCTAACTGCTACCCGAATAATAAAACATAACAATTAACTCCCTGTTTATTCCCCCAAATACCCAAATAATACCCCAATCAATAAAAACCGACTCTAATACGAAATAACCAAAAACTGCAAATAATTATGTTTCCCACATCCCCTCTTCCTTCGAAAAACAACCTTGTCCCCAAGGTTGTTCCTCCAGCTCACTAGGCATCTTCCTCTCCATTTCCTTCATCCTCAGCTTCTTCTTCTGCTTCATCTTCCCAGCGCCCAACCAGCATCATCAAATCCGGCTTCGGGCATTGATGACCAATGGTGAACCGGCCGTCACAGTTGAAGCACTTGCCCTCCCGCCTCTTTTGCTCAATCTCTGCCGGCGTCAGTCGCACGAATCCCTTCGGTATGGCCCGCTGCCCCATCCTGGCCACCGGAGCTGGTCCTCCACCGCCCGCATTGGGCCCAGTCGAGCCGGCGGGTGCCCCACCTGTGCCGCCACTAGCACTGCTGCTTCCTCCTCCTCCACTTGGCTTTGAGAAGCGGCCAATGGTGCTTCTCCAGCTAGCCAGTTCTTCCTCCTTATGACCTGCAAGACGAAAAGCAGTTTTCACAGAATCGGGCTCAAACACCCTGACTGCCGCTGCTATCTCGGGTTTGAGACCCGCCATGCACAGCCCCACCAAGGTGTCCTCCGAGACTCCCTTGCACTGGTTCCCCAACTTGAAGAACTCCGCGCGGTACTCTGCCACCGTGCCGGTCTGCTTCAGCTTTGCCAACTGCTCAGGAGCCCACCCATCTGACTTCCCAAACTGATAACGGAGCTCCTCCTGAAACATGGGCCAGGTGATCAAGGTTGCTGCTGCTGCATAGGATCTCTCCATCCACTCCCACCACTGGAGCGCATCGCCCTCCAGATAGAACGATGCCAGGTAGGCTTTCCTCTCCTCCGGAATTGGGTGATTCTTAAACCACCTCTCAACTGCATACAACCAAAGACCTGCATCCTCCTGCCCATTGAATTTGGGAAACTCAATGGTAGGAGGCTTAGCTCGAAAGACTATCCCATCCATTCCCTCATAGTTCGGATACTGGGACCCATACCTGTCATTTCCTGGTGTCCTCCATGGCTGCCCCCACTGAGAGCACTGCATCTGGTTAGGATTTCCGTGTCCATAGTCACCCGGATAGTAGCCCGGCTGATTCGGGTATTCCCCTGTGACATGAGGCGCCTCATAAGGACCCTCTCCTTCTCCTGGACCCCTGCTGTCCGCCCTCCGGTTCGGCTGGTTAGTTGGACTCGGTCGATGCCCGGTTCGACCTACCTCGGGTCGACCCATCCCGGTTCGCCCGGGTCCGGTTCGGCTCAACTCGGTCCGATCAGTACTGGTCCGACCAATACCGGTCCGCTCCGGTTCGGTCCGACCCCCTCCTGGCCCGCCCGCCTGGCCCGGCCCAAAAGGAGCCGCCCCGCCTGGACCTACCTGGTCGGCGGCCCTGCTCGGCCCACCAGCCCCCTTCTGGTTCATCTCCTGTTCAGCCCACTGGGCCTGCTGGCCCGCCAAGCTTAGTTGGTCATACTCGGGCCCATATTCCTGGTCCAGCCATCCCAGCCCGTTATGGACCCTCGTATACTGGCCCATCTGTCCCGGCCCACCATTCATAGGAGGCCCATTTGCGTCATACCCAGCCATCTTAGCCTTTCCCTTTCGGGCCGCAATTTCTTGGGCCGTGGGGGTCGGTAACAGGCCCGAGCCCATCCCCAATGGAGTCCGATCAGCCCTGGCCGGCCCGGTGTTCGCCACCCTGCTCCCCTCGGCCCTTTCACTCGGCGCGCCCGCTTGAGCCGCCGCCGCCCTCGCCGCACCCGACCCGCCGCCGGCTCCGCCCCCGGCCCCGGCCGCCGCGGCCTTCGCCCCCGCCGGCGCCTCTAGCGCCGCTGCCGCGGTGCTCCCACCGCCCGCCGACTCTTCCGCCGCGCCAGGTCCGCCGCCTCCCTCGTTCGCCAGCTCCTCCGGGTTCGGCGCCCTCTCTGGTCCGCTCCCCCTTGCCTGCAGCGAGGTAATTGCCCTCATCAGGTCCTCCAGTCTCTGACGCAGATCGTCAGCATCCTTCTTCGCATCAGCCTGCACTCTTGCCAGGCCTTCTTCGAGCCTGGCCAGCGCATCAGAGTGCTCGTGCACCACCTCCTTCACCGCCTCCAGCTCAGTGAGGTCCTCCATCACCACCTCGTCGCGATCAACGCCGCCCGTCCCGGTGCTCTTCTCGGCTGCCTGCGCCTTCTCCTCCGCCGCCTTCATCGATTTCGTTGTCACCATCGTTGCCTTCCCTGGTTCAAGAGTTCAGATGAACTCACTCTCGAGCCAGGCTCTGATACCAGATGTAGGAAACAAGATTTCCTACAGGTTGGGAATTGGGGAATTTAGCTAGATCAATTAGGGATTGATCTAACTAGGGATTAGAATTGGGGATTTTGAGAACAAGAAGAGGGAAGGGAGGAGCTGCTGCCGCAGCTTTTGGAGCCAAGAGGGAGAGAGAGATTTCGCAGGAGAGAGGGAAGAGAGAGGTTCAGGATTTAGGTTTTTGGTTCTGTAATTGCTTAATCCCAAAATAAGACCCTATTACAGATTATATAACCTGTCTAATTCCTAACTGCTACCCGAATAATAAAACATAACAATTAACTCCCTGTTTATTCCCCCAAATACCCAAATAATACCCCAATCAATAAAAACCGACTCTAATACGAAATAACCAAAAACTGCAAATAATTATGTTTCCCACAAAATGGGAGTGATGTAGATGGAGAGGGAAGAGTGTACGAGAAGGATTTGTCAGTGGGAGGCAGAAAGAGAGGGGAAGGTGAAAGTTTTATTTTGGAGTAGTTCAACGTTTTTGTTGTTCTCTTTTTTTGACAGTTTTGAAGGCTTTTTTAGTGAGAGTTGGGAAGAGAGAACTCACTAAAGTGTATCCAGCTTTTATCTATAAGGGGTAGTTCAACGTTTTTGTTGTTCTCTTTTTTGACAGTTTTGAAGGCCTTTTTAGTGAGAGTTGGGAAAAGAGAACTCACTAAATGACAAAAAGTGAAACAGTGAAATTGAAGCTTTTATCTATAAGGGGTAGTTCAACGTTTTTGTTGTTCTCTTTTTTGACAGTTTTGAAGGCCTTTTTAGTGAGAGTTGGGAAGAGAGAACTCACTAAATGACAAAAAGTGAAACAGTGAAGATGAAGTTTGGCCAATAAAGTGTATCCAGCTTTTATCTATAAAAGAATTGGTTGGGTGCTCTAGTTTTTTTTTTTTTTTTTTTTACACTCACTCCAGCATTGCACGAAATATATTGGTTGGGAGATAAAAGAATATTATTTTTTACACGCCACCCACGTCAGAAGCATGAGACACCTATAAATAGGACACTCATTATGCTTTCAAGACAGTTCATTTTGGAGTTGTTCTCCCCTGAAGATTACAACACAAACACTATTCACACATGATTAGAAAAATTATACAAATAGTTTGATAGCATGAAATTCAGAGATACCTCAATGACATAAGAGACGACAACCAAGAACTGAAATCATAACCCAAAACACCATTTGCCCTAGCCTCCTAGTTTTATACATGTAGAAAATATGCTACTTATCAAACTCCTTGGACTACTCTTAAAAGCTGGACATTAGACAGTGAAGGCAACACAAGCCACAGGGGATGATGAAATACAGCCAAGCAAGCATTTAATGAGATGACTATGTTGCCAAAAGAATACCGCATCTACAGTAAATTCTGTAATCAACATTCTCACATTCTCAATACCTGCTCTCTCGCTGGTTTTTAAGCTTCTATCTGTTTATATTCATTCAGAAAATAGTACTCATAAGAAGGGGAACCAAATTGGGCGTTAGAGATCTTGAAACTGGAGAAAAATGGTTTTCCATTTCTGTATGTACAAATTTCAAGCCTACAACTGAAACCAGCAGATCCAAAATAATAACATTGAATAAACGAATTGTAGTATTACTGGAGAAAGCCACACATTAGTTACAAAAGGCAGGCAAACCCTTCATCCTTCGTCCCACGGTTTAATAGAGCTTTATCCTTGTGCTGATTGGAGTCCGGCAGATAGGGCACAGTTGAAGGTTTGCGTTTTCGCCACACTCGCGACATGTCTGAAGCCACACAAAAAAAAAACATCAAACCCAAATATCAATCAACCTCCATTCAATCTCAAGTTTCTCACAGATAAAAGCACAAAGAAGAAGGAACTACTAAGAAAAAATACACACTTGGTGCCCACAGCCGAATGCCAGGTCCTTCGCGTTGCTGAGGCAGATAGGGCAAAGCTGTACAGTTAAACAGACCACAAAAATGTGTGTCATTTGAGGCTGCCACTGCAATAAAAAAAAACTCTTGGTTATGCGGAAAAATTGGCCGAAGCATAAGTAACTAACCTGGTTTTCGTAGGTTGAACTTGTGACTGGCGGTGCTGAGCTGATCGGATGGGTGTCTGGTTCATAAACCGGTACAGTAGGATTAAAGCTGGTAGTAGGCTGGAAAGATTTGGAGCTGGTAGTAGACTGGAAAGATTTGGAGTTACTAAAGGATGAGGACCCATAGACAGGAGGTGGGAGTGCAACCCTCTGAGGAATATTTCCCTTTCTACGACTGCAGATTTGAAAGAAAAAGAATTTAGTACAGAAAACAATAGATGAAAGAAAGATGTCTGGAGGAAGGCATGGAGGGGCATCAATTATATCTTTACAGGTGTCTCATTGAGGGGATTCCGGTAGAGGCTTTCCCAACTCAGTCCATGAAGTCGTGATCTTTAACTCAAAATACACTCATGTATGCCCGAGCGGACAAAAGGAAAGAAGAAGCTCATATATAGGAAGATAAGAATTAATCCTGCCAAACAGAGAAGCAAAGAAGTAGCTGAGCCGTTACCCCAATAAACCAAGCTCCATCGTTGCCTTGTATTGAGGAGGAATTTCCATGAGAGCAGAAAGTGCAAACTGTGTCTCCTTGCGGGATTGGTCCACGTTCTTCAACATAATCTCCGTGAAATTTACAAACTACATGAATAAAAGTTGAGATTTTTATCGTTTTCTGAAGATGATCATAATGAGTGGGAAAAGAGAAACTAATGGAAGCGATCCCATTACCTGGAAATTATCAAACTCTCTAGCAGGGATGTTATCATCAAACTCCTTCATCGTGTCCCATGGGCCATCCCCAACCCCTACCAAAACAATAGACAAGGGAAGCTTGCTGCAGAAGAGGAAATCCATGATCAGGAAACAAGTGGCACATTCCACTCAACAGTGAAACACAGGAACATGTATAAGGAAGGAAAATAACAGAGGAAATCATGTAACAGATTGTTTACCTGGCTTGTACAATGGCATCAACTGTCTTCTGCTCCTGTGGACTTAGCCGCCCATGCTCAGTGTCAACACTTCTAGTAACCTGTGACATGGTAAGAACGTGATTATAAACTACAGATTCTCATTGACAATTATTATCTGTTATATAATTTTTATCATATACTGAGGCGAATTACCTGCCCATCTGCTATTATCAACAATACATGATACTGGCCACCACTCTCCTCAACAATAGTCATTGCCTTCTCAATGACGGGTGCAAATGAAGTCGGACCTGTCAAAAAAAAAAAGATGCATAAGCTCCAAAAATAAATTACTGTAGTAATTCTATCCATGGAAAACAAATATGACTCGGGGAACATGTAACCCAAACCTGCAAGTCTCAGGCTTGGAACAATTTCTCTGTATCGGCCTAAAACTTCTTCAAATCCATTACAGAACCTCTCATCCTGATAGAAACTGAAGACATCCTGATCGTGTGTCGTAGCTGCCAACGGATAGTAGTATTGTAGTAACTCTCAGTAACACAAGTTGCGTTGTAATTCAATTATAGAAAACAATTCTTAGAGTTGAGACCCTACCGTCTCCAAATCCGTAGCAGGGAATCAAGTTGTCCTCATCAAAGGCAGCTAAAGTCTTCCCAATAATAGAAATTGCTTGCTCGTAGGGATTCAAGGTATCTCCAATGTGATGCAAACTTTTTCTGTTGTAAGACTTTGCACCTAGTGATCAAACCATATTAAGCAGCATGTTCACAATGCAAACCTAATTTACACATCAAAGCATACAAGAGAAACAAATACCCGTCCACTCGTTGCTCTTCGTAAAGTCAATTCCAACAATGAGATTTGATGATTCAAGTCCAGCACGTGCAAGAGCTTCAGTCACCTGCAAAGAACCATACCAGTATGATCAGAACCTATATTACCACAAACCAGGAGGTAAGATAATCAAATCCCATGCATAGCCAGCCAATTCTCATCCAATAACATCAAACAGACAAACATAAACTTGTAAACATTTACCTGGTCCAAGGATTTATAGTCATCGGCAATTATCGAATACTTTCTATCAAGCCGCCTTCTATCACCACCTCCAACTTGAGCTGGCGGTGGATAGTTTGGCTGTGTGGGAGGTTGCTGGGGTGGCGGATAGCCATATCCATAGCCATCTTGACCATACGGCTGCCCATAATAAGGTTGTTGAACATAATCCCATGAAGATGCCGCCGCAGACGAGGAATCCGACCTCCAGCTCCCTTCCCTCGAGTTCTTTGCTCCCATGAAAAATTCACAATACTCTGCAACAAAAATCAACAAAGGCTCTCTCTTTATCTCAAAAACTAAACAACCCACAATACAGAAGCCCCTAGCAAGTCAAATGTCCTCCAAAAGCACGATATGAATGGCGGTTTCAACTTGCAGAGAAATATATAATAAGATGTTTTGGGGTTTTGGTAAAATAGATGAAACATCGAGGAAGCATCCAAATTAGCTTACTTAGCAACAAAGAATGACTCTCTTCAAGAGGCTGCTGGCTGCTAGACTCGCTCACGTAACTCGGCTTCCTTTCTCTACCCCTCACCGATTTCTTATCGGTTAAAGTTCCTTTTTTGCGCCTAATATTTCTCTTTCCCCTTTTGTCTCTCCTGTCAGAAACGTTATTACTGCTTAAATACAGAACTAGCGGGCCACAGCTCCAATTTTGGCAGAATGCCGAAATTGGCTATGGTAGCTTCGCCGACAATCAACTGCAATCCACTGATCGGAAAATGATGACCGATGGATTGATAAAACCCAACCGGCATTCCTCGAGATTATTATAGGAGACCTAGGTTTCGTACATTTATCCTGACCTCTGTTTACGAAGCAGGTCGGAGAGGAGGGAGATGGTGTAGCATCGTCTAAGAAACTTGATGCGTGGAAGTATCAGTCTGCCACAGTGGATTATTTGTGTTGAGTAGATCAGTAGCAAACCGGGAGATTCTGCAAAGGCGGATCTGAATCGGATTCCGGAATCGAGACTTTCTTGTTTCTTGGTGTTGGTCTTCCGTGAAAGGGGAAGAAAAGGAAGGGTTAAAGGGGAGCGGAGGAAAGTGAAGAAGCTTTTTTGGCCGATAATGGAATTTGAGGTTTTTATGTTTTGGGTCAGGGAATTGATTAACAATGGCGGAGTGGCAGGCATGCGATGATGGCAAGGATAGAACTTAGAAGGTTCGCGGCAATGGTATGCCAAGTAAACACTCCACGATGGTATTTTTAAATAATTTTTTATGCGCTTTCTAATTATTTTTGTTAACAAATGCATTTGTTAAAGATTCCAAGTTTAACTTTTTCAAGCCAATATTAATTTTTTTATGAAAAAATAAATTTTAAGTCAGAACTCGGGCGATATCATCCGAACAAATGAGTTAAAAGGATAAAGAGTACAAGACACGGGTTGAGAAGAGTGTAACAGGGTAGGTCGGTCATAAGGAAATTTGTTAACTAAAAATTAGTGTGTGTCTAAGTGAGAATAGTTGATCGTGAGGTTTTGCGTTTGAACCTTGGCAACCGCATTTGTTAATTACATAGAATTCAGATTTGTTCAAACTTCAATTTCATATAAGTTGACTTTCTTACGAGGATGTGTGTTAGTAAATACTATAAGATTATATTATTCAATTTCTCTCAACAACTCGAGTTATTGATACTAAATGTTCTTGGGGAAAAAACCACCATGTTTCGAAAGGAACTACTAACTAAATTGTGAATAATTGTTTGGTATAAGATTAATTACTAAACATCTCTCAACAATTGGGTTATTAATACTAAACGGTTCCTGATAAAGAACATCGTTCGAAAGTGAACAACTAACCGAATAACGAATAACTTGATAGTTACAACTACTAATGCATTTTAACTTACAAATTCCAAATATAAGATTGTTTATGCGATTTGAATCGAACTATGAGCCGCTACCATATTGGATTTGGGTTAGATTTAGGAAAAATACTATAAATACTTCTCATACTCCTCTCTAATCTATACGTATCTCCTCGAAGTATAGTGAAATTTGCTCTCTCTAGCCCGTGGACTAGCTAACACACATTGTGTTAGTGAACCACATAAATCACGCGTCGTGTGTGTGTGCTTTCGTTTTTCTTGCATTGTCGAATACTCCAATTTCTCGATCCGCAAAGAAACAGTCATGACAAAGATAATATCACGAATGATTAAAAAAGTTAATAAAATCTATTTCTCATGTGTATTTTTTCCAAAGTGGACTCACCTTGGACGAAATTTTGGCTACGCCCCTAATAAGACATGAGCATTGATACAATGATATGGATTTGATTGATAGTCACTAACTCAGTGTTACAAGTAAATTTATCCATCTCATGTGTTATTCAATGTTAGTGTACCGTTAAAACGAAAAGAAGGATGTTGGGATCTTGGTGAACTTCTTGTTAGAGATAAATCAAATGACTGAGTGTTTGGTCGTGTCACGTGTGAAAAAGAGCATTACGTGAGATTCATGTACCATTAGTTACTTACTTGTTTAACAATACAAAGTAATGGATAATTAAATTTTGCAAGTAATCATGAGACACAAGCTTCGAACAAAAGGATGCTCTCTTTCAACATATTGTAGCCAAATCAATCCTTAAGTACCATTAATTAGTTATATATGGGTAATGCATCCATAATGAGATAATTACAGTAGAGAAATCAACGATCAATAGTTTGATAATTCCATTATACACATGGTTGTTGATATCCAAATTCCTACTAAAAAAAATGTCACCTTCCCTGTACATTATTGTATGGTATCCAAGTCTACCCCAAGAGAGTTAGAGAAAAGCACTTGTAGTCGTCAACAGCACCACCCCTGAAACAAAAGCAGGTTACTACACCATGATAAAAATGAAGAGATTTACATTTACTGATCCATATCAATCCAATGGACTCTAGACATCAATGGGCCAGCCCACCTATTTGGGCCTCACTGGGGCTGGCCGGCTTTATTGAATCAAACCGAAACGTCAACCAAACCAATTCCTCCACTCGCACCACTGAGCTCGACCTCACCTGATTCTTCCCCGCCCTTTCAGACGACAAAACAGTTCAGTGCTCAGTAGTAGTCTAGCAGAAGCAGACTAGTAGTAGTAGCCAGCCCAGCAAGAAGCAAAGCAGCTGAAAAAAGCTCGCAGAAATCAGATTCCTTTCTTACCGGTTCAGTTTCAAGCTTCCAATCCACCAGGGCTTTTCGAATTCAATTCATTTCCATCGAAAGTTCAAGTCTTTTCAGTTTTAACCCTCCACCGATTCAATCGGAACGAAGAAGAAGAAGAAGAATGAGGCAGAAAAGCGACCAGCTTCGGTCGTCCAAGCTAATCACTTACCTTCTCCTGATCGTCATCCTGTTTCTCGGCCTACTCTGTTTATACTACGGCTCTTCCTTCGCGCCCGGATCGGACCCAGAATCCCTCCGCCGCGACGGCTCTGACCCGGTCCTCGGTTCACTGCCCGGTCCCCAGCACTTCGACGATGACTCCCTCCAGAATCTGGAACTACCCAGAACCATTCCGGTAAGTTCAGTTCCGTTTTCCCTCGAATTGGGGGATTTGGATGTCGTTTGATGTTGGAGAGTGTTGGCGTGTTTGATTGTAGATCTGTGATATGAAGTACTCCGAGCTGATACCTTGCTTGGATAGAGAGCTAATTTACCAGATGAGGTTGAAGCTGAACTTGTCGTTGATGGAGCACTACGAGCGGCACTGTCCGCCGCCGCAGCGGCGGCTCAATTGTCTGATTCCGCCGCCGGCTGGTTATAAGGTTAGGCAGGATAAACTGGAGTGTTTGTGTTTCGGAGAGTTGGTTTGGTTTTAGTTGTCGTGATGAAATGCTGGCATTTAGAGTTTCAGATTCCGATAAGGTGGCCGGAGAGTAGAGATGAAGTGTGGAAGGCTAATATCCCACATACCCACTTGGCGAGCGAAAAGTCTGATCAGAATTGGATGGTTGTTAAGGGGGATAAGATCAATTTCCCTGGTGGAGGAACCCATTTCCATTATGGTGCTGACAAGTACATTGTCTCTCTCGCTAGGGTAATTATGATTGATTGTGCCCAGAAAGTTTTCATCTTTCCACCCTCTCTTTATTTGACTTGTTCTGTCTTATTTGTTTGCTGAGAAATTTTGAACCTTTATTCTCGTTCCTTCAATGCAAAGCCACAAATTCGACCCCACAGACACCACAAGTTACTGTCGTTTTGTTACAATCTCTTCATTCAAGATCATATGACAAGCTACCCTATTCATGTAGATGCTTAAGTTTCCAAACGACAAGCTTCACAATGGTGGGAACCTCAGGAATGTCCTCGACGTGGGCTGTGGAGTGGCAAGCTTCGGTGCCTATCTTCTTCAGCACAGCACCATAGCCATGTCCCTGGCACCAAATGATGTTCACGAGAACCAGATACAGTTTGCATTGGAGAGAGGGATTCCATCGACCCTTGGTGTCTTGGGGACCAAGAGGCTTCCGTATCCGAGCAGATCGTTCGATTTGGCTCATTGTTCAAGGTGCAGGATCGATTGGCTGCAGAGGGATGGAATCCTGCTGTTGGAGCTTGATAGGGTGTTGAGACCAGGAGGCTATTTCGCTTATTCGTCCCCTGAGGCGTATGCTAAGGATCCGGAGAACCTAAGGATAGGGAATGCTATGCATGATCTTCTGAAAAGAATGTGCTGGAGGGTTGCTTCCAAGAAAGACCAAACCGTGATCTGGCAGAAACCCACGAGCAATGGTTGTTACTTGAAGAGAGAGCCTGGTACTCAACCGCCTTTGTGTAGCACTGAAGATGATGCAGATGGTGTGTGGAATGTGCAGATGAAGGCCTGCATTTCTCAATACTCTGCACGTAAGTACCCGAAAGTTGAACTTAACTGAATCATGTCCTTCAATTGCATTGAAATCAAGTTCAGTGCCTAATTTGACTTATACCACACAAGTTCAGTGACCAAACTTGGTTTGTTAATTCCAAGAGCATTCACTAGCCTTTTGCTGAAGTTATCAATTCATTTTTTTGTTTTTTCTTTTAGAGATGCACAGGGAGAAAGGGACTGGATTGGTACCATGGCCGCAGAGGCTAATCACACCGCCCCCACGTTTGGAAGACATTGGTGTTAGTCCCGAAGAGTTCCATGAAGACACTGTAAGGCTTCCTGACTCGTTGCTTAATTTGTCTAACCACCTTCTCGATATTTTTTATGTTGATAGCTAGCTTACTTCTTTCCATTTTATTTTTGCAGCGTATATGGAAATTTAGGGTGAATGAGTACTGGAAGCAGATGAAATCCGTTGTGAGGAAGAGCTACTTCAGGAATGTCATGGATATGAATGCAAATCTCGGAGGTTTTGCTGCCGCTCTTAAAGATACAGATGTCTGGGTGATGAATGTTGCTCCAGTCACCATCTCAGCCCGGCTTAAGATCATCTATGATCGTGGCTTGATTGGAACGGTTCATGACTGGTAGCTCATTCATCCTTCCTCTCACTCTTTTAGCATCAATGATTCCCAGGGTCAATACTCAGTAGTATTTATAATACCTGTTTTTGGGGGATATCATTGTATAGCGATAAATATGTTATCAACCTTGATTCTAGCTTTACATTTAATGATCCTGATGGAAACTTGTGGCCTCTGTCTTCACTCAGGTGTGAATCATTCTCTACATATCCGAGAACATACGATCTCCTCCATGCCTGGGCAGTATTCTCGGAGCTCGAGGAGCGAGGCTGCAGTACCGAAGACCTGCTCGTGGAAATGGATAGGATCCTGAGGCCCGAAGCATTCGTCATCATACGAGACAAACCATCGATCATTAGCTATATCCAGAAGTCATTACCGGCCTTGAAGTGGGATCGGTGGGTGTCAGAAGTTGAACCGAGCACTGATGCTCTCTCGGTGAGTGAAGAGCGGGTCCTGATTGCCAGGAAGAAGCTATGGAGCGATTAGTAGAATGTACCTACAATGTGAATACGGTATAACGTAATTACCATCTTCTCTGCGTTTCTTTCTTTTCACTCTTCCTTTCATTCTTTCTGCAGCACTTCTTCAACAGCCATGCTTCCCTTTGTGTCCATATGACAGGTTTTGGGGAGCTGTTAATTAAAAGGGAACTGCAAATTTTACACTACTCATAGACAGAATTCTTTCCACAGAAGTTTGCTTAGATTTTTTGGCCCGAGTGAATGTGCTCCAATTCCATACACAGGAGACGTGGAAGGGAAACCAGATTGCTAAGGTTCCATAAGAGAAGCATGATTATGGTTAATGATTCGTTCTTATGTATATGTATCTGAACTGAGATACAGTGCTGAACTTCTGCTGGCCAAACTCAATTTAAAGTTTTTACCTTTTTGCCTACAAAATGTGGGGAGGGAGAGGGGAAGGAAGCCATGTAGTGAAATTTTACAATCTGTTGAAGCTTTCATGACATCCCTTCATTGATTGATATGCAAGCTTAAATGATTCTTTCATGTAGTCTAATTACGGGTGACCTTATTGCATGGTTCAAAGACAGTAACTTTACATCATGAGCCCCAATTCTTTGTGTAGTCCGGTACATTTTGCTTTGTTTCCCTCCAACAACCAAAACCTCCACATTGATTATGACTCTTTTCTTGTTCGAATTTCTCTATAGGAGACTCTTTCTTGTTTTACTAATGGTTTGGACGTTGGAGGGTTTGCAAGATCAAGAGCCCTACGCAATTTGTTTAGCATCACAAACTAAACCATTTCGTTTAAGAAAATATGAGTAATTGGCAAAAACAAATACAAGTTTGCGTGACACAAAATTATTACAAAGTCATTAAAAATTAAAGAGAAAATTTACCGTCACAAAAACATTAAAAACTAACAAAAAAATTCATATATGATATATGTATATATAGAAAAACAAAATGGTGCTTCCGTCCACAGCTTTAAAAGCTGACTATAATAGTTTTTTCGTACGACACATCAACAACCCAATTAATTCGTAGACGGAATTACGAAATTAAACGTAAATGCCATTTTTCATTTTGATATAAGTTTTTAAAATTTTGTGACTGTTCTGTTAAACAGGCGAAACTTATATGACCATTCTTGGGACCGTTTTGTTAGCATAGGATCATTATCAACATTTTCTGAAATTGGATAAAAATAAGTGAACATTCCAATGCTCTGTTTCAGCTGCCGAACTTAGATTAGAAAGGAAAAAGGAGAACTCATTTTTGCACACACACGGATGAATATTTTACACACATCTTCTCTTTCTATTGCCTCTCTGCCATATCCTTTGCACGAAAATGGCCGTCGCCGCTCTCAGCTGTCTCCCGCCCTAGAAAGCTTGCAATCACTGCCCACTGACTGTTGGGTTCAAAAAGTTCAACCCTTTTTCACTCCTTTACCCCCGTTTCGTCCCGATTGTTAATCGAACTCAGCTCTACCAACAGCGACAATGGCGTCCACGCCGCCGCTCTCAATCAACGCCCAGAAGCCTTATCACAACAACCCGCTAACACAAAACAACTTCCAGACCAGCAGCCACCGTCAGCACCAGCATCACCACCACCACAACCACCACCCGCAGCAGTACCGCCAGGTACCCAATCAGAAATTCTGGGTCCCGGGCACGCGCAGCGCCGCCGCCGCCGCTTCTTCCTCCGCTGCTACAGCTCCCGCCTTTCCTTCCCTAGCTCCCCTTAAGTCACCCGATTCCAACCTCGCCGCCAACTTTTCGGGTCGCAGCTCGACCCGGGTTGTCTCCAAGTTCCACCTGGGTCGACCTAAGTCAACGGCGGGCTCCCGCCACACTCCAATCTCCGAGGAGGCTCTCCGCCAGGTGATGAGTTCAGGAAAAGACGAATTAACCCTCGAGAACGTTCTCCTCGCGTTTGAGTCTCGCCTCTGCAGCTCCGACGACTACATTTACATGCTCCGTGAGCTCGGCAACAATGGCGATTGGGGAAGAGCCCTCTGCTGCTTCGAGTTTGCCATCAAGAGGGAGAAGAGAAAGCTGGAGAAGGGGAAGTTAGCCAGCTCCATGATCAGCACACTCGGAAGATTGGGCAAAGTGGAGCTGGCAAAGAGCGTCTTCGAGACAGCTTTCAATGAAGGGTATGGCAACAATGTGTACACTTTCTCTGCTTTGATTAGTGCTTATGGGAAGAGTGGCTACTGTAATGAAGCTATGCAGGTCTTGGAATCGATGAAGTACTATGGCCTTAAGCCGAATTTGGTCACTTACAATGCTGTGATTGATGCTTGTGGCAAGGGGGGAGTTGAGTATAGCAAACTAGTAGAGATTTTCAACCTCATGTTGAAGGATGAAGTGGAGCCTGATCGAATTACCTACAACACTCTGCTTGCTGTATGTAGTAGAGGAGGTTTATGGGATGCTGCCAGAAGTTTGTTCAGTGAAATGGAAGGTCGAGGGATCCAACGGGATTTGCATACTTATAATACCCTTCTAGATGCTGCTTGTAAAGCTGGGCAATTAGACATAGCATCGAAGATTATGTCCGAGATGCCTGGAGAGAAGATGTTTCCAAATGTGGTTACTTATAGCATTATGATTGATGGTTATGCTAAAGCTGGTAGATTGAATGATGCCCTGTTGTTGTTTAATGAAATGAAGGTTAAGGGGATTGAGTTGGATAGAGTTTTGTATAACACATTGCTCTCGGTTTATGCTAACCTTGGTAAACTTGAGGAGGCTCTGGACGTCTACAAGGAGATGCAAGCTTTTGGATTTGGAAGAGATGTTGTTACTTATAATGCACTCATAGCTACATTTGGGAAGAAGTGCAAGTACCATGAAGTGAGAAGAGTGTTTGAAGACATGAAACTACGGCGTGTGTCTCCAAACTTGGTAACCTATTCGACTTTGATCGATGTGTATTCCAAAGGTGGGTTTTATAATGAAGCCATGGAAGCGTTTAGAGAGTTGAAGCTAGCAGGATTCGAGGCTGATGTTGTTCTCTACAGTGCACTTATCAATGTGTTGTGTGTTGTGTTGGTGGATTCGTTGAAACTGCTGTTTCTTTGCTTGATGAGATGACAAAGGCTGGTACTAGACCTAATGTCGTAACTTACAACTCGATCATCAATGGTTTTGGTCTGTCATTTGATTCGGAATCTGTGGTGGTTAATGATGCTGAGAAGGGCGATGAAATGTTGCAAGTTGGTCCTTTAAGGACAATTATTGCCCAGGAGGCTGCTGGCTTAGATGAGCTGATGGAGAAAGGTGATAACAAGATCATGAAGATATTTGGGCAGCTTGCCGCGGAGAAGGATGGGTTATCAAAGAATGGCGAAAGGAAGGAACTTTTGTGCATATTGGGGCTCTTCCAAAAGATGCATGAGCTGCGAATCAAACCAAATGTTGTCACATTTTCAGCCATTCTAAATGCTTGCAGGTAACCTACGCTATTTCTTGGCGTTATTGCTTAGTTACATAAGCTCTTGAACTGATGGAGAAAACCCAGCGTAGCATATTCGATTGTGTAAGTTTACCTTTTGTTCTGATGCAGTCGTTGTAATTCCTTTCAAGATGCCTCGGTGTTACTCGAGGAGCTACGCTCATTCGATAACCAAATCTACGGTGTAGCTCATGGACTCCTGATGGGTTACAGAGGAAATGCTTGGCTGCAGGCATGCTCACTCTTTGACGAAATGAAGTCTTTGGACGCTCCCACTGCATCTGCCTTCTACAACGCGCTAACAGATGTTCTGTGGCATTTTGGGCAGGTCAGTTGTCACTCCCTTATATACTATATCTTAGCACGAGAGCCTGCTGCTAATCAAGATATTCTTGCCAATTCATATTAACAGAAACGTGGGGCCCAGCTAGTTGTGGTCGAAGGAAAACGTCGGCAGGTATGGGAGACCGTGTGGTCAGACTCTTGCTTAGATCTGCATCTGATGTCTTCTGGCGCTGCTCTAGCCATGGTTCACACATGGCTGCTTGATATCCGATCCATTGTGTTTGAAGGCCGAGAACTGCCCAAATGGTTGAAGTATGCATCCTACCATTAGCTCTGGTCAATTACGCAAATAATCATTGAACTACTCTGATTTTTAACAAACTTGTAGATCATGTTGTTAGTGTCATAAACCAGTTAGTGCCAATAACTCGAATTGTTGAGAGAAGGTTATGTTGGATCTTATACCACTGTCTAACAGTTAGTAGGCTAAAAATTTGCTGCCCTAAAGGATACACTGTTTCAAGCAGCTGCTTATATACTCATGTTACTTTTTGTTGTTGGTTTCTTGCAGCATCCTGACTGGATGGGGCAAGCATAGTAAAGTGGTAGGAAACAGTGCCCTAAAGAGAAATGTGGAAGCTCTGCTTACCGGAATGGGAGCCCCATTCCAACAGGCGAAATGCAACCTAGGTCGGTTCATATCATCAGGAGCTCTCGTCACGGCATGGCTGAGAGAACCCGGCACCCTAAGCGTGCTCGTTCTTCACGATGCCAGAACACCAGACGTCGCAGACAATGATGTTTCGAGATCCGGTGTTGAAATGCAGATGATTGCTTTGTAGTGGTGGTAGTAGTAGCTGTTTCATTGTTGTACCATCATCATCACCCTATTTATTTTGGTCTTAGGTTCCGTTCCATAAAATTCTGCTCAAACCATTAGTAGGTTGGAGAGGGGACTTAAGCTACATGTAGAGGTCTTGTCCATGTAAGACATTCTGCTCAATCGATAGAAGTTTTTCAGAGACAGAGAACTGTCTTTTGTTTGAATCCCCTTTAGGTGGGGGGGATCTTCTGTATGTAATTTGGAATATACAGTGTTTGTAATATTTGCAGTCCAGTCCATAAAGGTTCTTTCTTTTGCTTCAGCTTTACCTGTTTACCATATGTTGAAAGTTTGAAACAAACCGGCTAATGAAGAACACCGAATAAGGCGTGAAAAATGAAAAGAAAAAAGTTTAAATGCCGTAACACAAAAAATATTCATATTTTTCAAAACCAAACTCGAAATGCGATAAATTGTCGAGCCAAATAGGTTGACAAGATCTTTAAAATGAAGAAACAATTGCTAAAATATCAAAACATGAAATTAGTAAAAAGATCCGACTTGCCGGATTCGAACCAGCGACCTAAGGATATACTGATGGCTTTGCCCACTACAGTCCTCCGCTCTACCAACTGAGCTAGAGTCGGATACTGACTATTAGAATACCACTTTCAGTAGTAAACAATATTCAGCGAAGAGGGAACTGTGTTTGTGACACTTTGTGATCCAGGTTTCCCGCGTCTCTCGGTCAGCAGTTCCGGAGTTCATCTGAAAATATGGAAAGGAAACAACAGAGACTGGACTGATATGGAAGCAGAATGAAAAACCTGAAGGCTGAAACCGATTAATAAGAAAGAAAATAATTGAAAATCCATTCTTCTCACCGAATCTCCATTCCTGCAAACCAACAGATATCTTCCGTTTCACCATGGAGAAGAAGAACATTAACGCCTCCAAGACCCCGACTGCGGCGGCAGCGACAGCAGCAGTATCCACGGCAATGCCGGCTACAAAAGATCCTCCCTCCGTGGTGCAATCAAATAGTAGATCACCTTCGCAGCCTTCACCGACAAAGCACCTGCCCAAGCAGCCATTCATGATCGGCAATTAAATCCCTTCCCTATCGCTGGTTTCTCATTTTCCCGATCTGGGATTTTGGCTGAAATCACTCTCTGCGTGTTTTCAGGTGTCGCCGGCGGGACTGCTTCCGGCAAAACGACTGTCTGTAATCTGATCATCTCCCAGCTCCACGATCAACGAGTCGTTCTCGTTAATCAAGTGAGAATAAAGTGATCTCTTTTCTTTCAGGAATGTTGTTTGAGATTCTGGATCGAAGGAATCAATGGACTTTCTCTTCTTTGCAACTCTGTCTTTTTTTTCCTTTGTGAAAGGATTCATTTTACCGGTCCCTTACACCTGAGCAACTGAAGAACGTCAAAGAATACAACTTTGATCATCCCGGTAGCTTTTCCTTTCCTGGGTTAGCCTCCCATTTTTCTGAGTACTTGTTCAATGCTGAAATCAACTAGTGCTGGGTTGTTTTCTATTCGTTTGTTGCAGATGCTTTCAACACAGAGCTTCTGCTGTCGTGCATGGAGACACTGAAGCGAGGGGAAGCCGTCACCACGCCGAACTACGACTTCAAGACCCATCAAAGCGTGGGACCTGGGAGCAAGGTGAATTGATGTGAAATTGGTGGTGGTTTTCCTTTTGTTTGGTGCAGTCAACTTGTTTGTGTTGATGTCTCAGCTAAGTGTTTTAGGGGGGATTGAGCTGTTGCAGGTGAACCCTGCAGACATAGTGATTCTTGAAGGGATCCTAGTTCTTCACGATGAACGGGTGCGTGATCTTCTGAACATGAAGATTTTCGTCGACACAGGTTGTGTTCTATTCCCCTCATCTACTAGATTGATCAGGAAATCAGATTGTACAACTTTTCTAGTCCTTGTGATTCACATAACCATTCAAGACGTTCTCGAATTGTTTCACCAGTGCAGATTCTGACCTACGGCTTGCCAGGAGGATTAAAAGGGATACAGTTGAGAGAGGGAGGGATGTTCAGAATGTGCTTGATCAAGTTAAGTTCCATAACCTCCCTTGACCTAGTTCAAAATGTAGCTATGTCTTGGACTGGGGTTGTGTTTAGATTATCCTTATTACCTTACTAATGTGGCATAACTTTAAAATTAGATGACATCGAGCTGAAAAACCAGACATTTGAATCGCGTTGATGTGCAGTCAAACCTGCACCAAGTGTTTTTGATCTGCAAATATGGCCAGTTAACCAATTTGCCAACCTGTGATGTTGCAGTATGCTAAGTTTGTGAAGCCTAGCTTCGACGAATTCATACTCCCCTCAAAGAAGTATGCAGACATTATCATCCCACGAGGAGGAGACAACGAAGTTGCCATCGATTTGATTGTACAGCACATTCATACGAAGCTTGGACAGCATGATTTGTGCAAGATATATCCAAATCTTTTTGTTTTCTTCTCCACATTTCAGGTATTCATCAAATGCTTTCCTTTTGGATTAGAAACTAAGCCTTTCATTCTTTGCTGGCTGATCATATCCTTGGAAGTTTGATTCCAGATTGGCGGCATGCACACGCTGATAAGGGATATGCAGACTACAAACCATGATTTCGTGTTCTATGCAGACCGGTTGATTCGTTTGGTGGGTAAAAGCATCCCACTTGAAGCTGAATTGCTGACTGGGACAAGAGAGTTACTGCATTGTTACTTTCTTTTCAGTTACGGTGTGAATAGTTTGAAAGTTGATGTTTGCAGGTGGTAGAGTATGGTCTTGGGCACCTGCCATTTACAGAGAAACAGATCATTACTCCAACAGGTAAAAGACAGAACCCTTGCCATTTTCTATTTGCTCTCTCCCCCAAGCTTGAGCACCAAGAAACACTGCCAGAAACTCAGTTTTCTATCCATCTCTATAGTTTTGTTCCATTTGTTCGAACTATTACATGTTTTAGTAGCTAAAAATTAGTGAGGATTTTAAGAATTTCCTCTGTGCAGGATCCATATACCCAGGAGTTGTCTTCTGCAAGAGATTGTGTGGCGTCTCAGTCATCAGGAGGTATGCAAGTAACTTTCTTCCGCATTGAAATGTCAAATGGTATCAAACCAATAACCAGCATCATTCATTATGATACGAATAAGCAGCGGGGAGAGCATGGAGAATGCGCTGAGAGCATGTTGCAAAGGAATCAAAATCGGCAAGATCCTCATCCATGGAGAGCGTAACGATGGAAGGCAGCTGATATACGAGAAGCTACCTTCGGACATCTCTAGCCGCCATGTCTTATTGCTCGACCCAGTTCTTGCTTCAGGTTCGTCACAAAAGCCTTCCCTGGTACTGATTAGTTTCCCAGGAACGAGAAAATGTGTTTAGTTTTGACAAAGAACGATGTTTTTCAATGTGGTGAAAAACAGGGAACTCTGCAGTGGAAGCTGTGTCTTTGCTTCTCAGTAAAGGGGTTCCAGAATCCAACATCATTTTCCTCAACCTCATAGCAGTAAGTGCCCCCCAATCCTTTCCATGTTCGTTTTGGTTCTTGCTCCATCCTCGCAAATCGTGTATGCTGATCTACCACAAGTGCAGGCACCACAAGGAATACATGTCATCTGCAAGAAGTTCCCCAAGCTCAAAGTTATAACGTCAGAGATCGATGAAACGTTGGATGATGATTTACGTGTGATTCCAGGCATGGGAGAGTTCGCAGACCGTTATTTTGGCACAGATTGATCCTTCAACTAGAACTTCCAACAACTAATAATAATGTCTCTCATTCTTTGATCAAAGTCGATAGTGCTCTCCCTATATATCTCCATTCTTTCATCTCTATTCATGTAACGGAACCAAACTGTAAGAGAAATTTTGACAACAGCTGTTCTTTCTTTAGTTGTTTCCTCTAAGAAAAATGTTCATAGACCTCTCAAAGGAGTTGTACCCTATTTGAGTCAAGTAGAATCATGAAGAAGACAGTTGCAGGTTAGGTGCTAGAAAAGGATTAAAAAATTCAATGCCCAAAACTGAATGTTTATCAGAAACTTGTGGTAACGAATCTTCACCAGTTAGCTCCTAGAAGAGCAAGGTACAAACTGAAAGAAAGGAGGTAACAAGGGGGGAACTCAAAACTTGCTAGAGCTACAATAAGTCAACAACCATTTTCCCTATTCATCTTGGATTGCGAAATTGAATAGCCTATAGGAGTGTCGCAACTACAAACCGAGCAAATAAGTTGAATTTTCGCTCATCATCAGCTTTGACCGGAAAGACTAGGCTTTTGAGTTCTTTTTACTCTTCTTCTTTCTGGGTGCATTGCTGCTGGGTCCAATTTCTATTGCCATTCTCTTTGTTCTGCAGAGGGAACATAGCACAATTACTTCAGAACTCCTCAAAAGTCAAAACTAAGCTATCAAGAACAGCAAATCAGTAGTGCAAACTGAAATACAGGGGAGAAATTGAGGTTGGATATACGAACACACCGGCAAGATAGGTCATCAGACTCCTTGCTTACATCTTCAACTGCATCATCAGAAACAAGAATTGCAAAGACATGAGCTCAAAGAAAGCATAGAGTTTTCCCACTCTGAATGAAAAACACCTTAAATCTGAGCCTATTCCAATTTGTTCCTCCATAGAAGAAGATATCAAGCAACATGCCAAGCTCAGCGCTTTTTCTGTAACATACCTGCTTCCATTCCTTCCCCGTCCTCATCCAACTCAGCCTCTTCGTCAGAGCCCCACCGATCATCTCCATCTTCGAAATCCCACCGTGCTCCCTTAGGTGGCATCCAGAACTCAGCTTCTTCTACCTCAGAATCATCACTCTCCCCATCAGCTGGAACATCCCTGATTTCAGTCACGATTTCTTCAACAGTCTTTGCCTTCTTGTCCTTCTTTTTCTTTTTCTTCTTCCTCTTCTTCTTATTCTCCTTATCATCACCATTCCCATCCCCATCCCCATGTTCCTTCTTCTCTTCACCTTCAGCTGATTTCCCATTTGGAACCAATTTCCCCATTTCCTTTAGTTCTGCTCCCACCGAAAAGAAAACCACACTCAATATCACAATTTCTCCCCACTTCCAACAGTTAAACAAGGAAAAACAGAAGAACACAAAAACAAACGAACCTAATTTGTTGAGGAACCGCCTGCCATTGATGTGCTTCCAGATATGCTCCTCGGTCTTATTCACTGTATCCCCAGTCAACTTACAGACCAATTTCGACCTTCAAAAGAAGAATTCACAGCAATCCTCTGTAAAATGTAAATACTTTACGGGAAAAACTAAGAACCCTAATAAAAAAAATTAACAAACGGAGAAGCTGGTGAGTTATTTTGCCATTTCTAGTGATACCTGTTGAGAGGGTCCTGCTTGAACATGTTGAGAGGAGCCTTGCGGGTGGACAGAGCATGGTTGACGAGACCCAGCCGGCACCGTTTGCTCTGCGAATACGATTCCTTGTCCTTGGAGAGGACCTCGTGGCCTGTCTCGACGCACTTGAACCTTCCGTTCTCGAGCTCGGTGAAGGAAGGCGGACCGAGCAAATTCTCCCCTTCTTTCGCCGTCGTCGACGTCTCTTCTTCCGCCATTTCTTCCGACGGCTTCAAGCTAACTCCCGTTACTACGGCTGCCGCCAGCGTTGTACCGATTGTCCTATGTCATAACTCATAAGGGCCCTAGGAGTGAGTGGGAAAGCAAAAGCCCAAAAACTCATAAGCCCACAAAGATTTGGGCTTTTCATTACCCGGCAACTCTAAGGTGAGAATTCCGAGTGTTCTCTCTTCTTTCCCAGTTGCCGTCCGGCGAACTAATCCACCGCCATGGCTCAACGTCTGAATTTCTCCTCTTCCATTTCCACCTCGCATCTTTCGTCTATTCTTCCCTCTCAGAATTCCGTCGCTGCTGCTTCTTCGAAACCAAATTGGAAGCCCCTCACTTCCCACTTCCTCCCTCATCCTATCCCTCTCATCCGTCTCTGCTTACGCTCCACCAACTACTCCGTCTGGCGTCTGGCTGTGACGGCTCTCTCTGCCGATGCTTCGGGAAAGAAGCCGCTGCTCGAAGTCAAAATTTTCAAGGCTGTGATCGCTGAAACAGGACAGGAAATTCTAAAGGGCGTCAACCTAGTCGTGAATGAAGGGGAGGTATATTGACTGATAGTGTTGGATAGTTCTATCAATTTCTGGAGTTTGGTGGTCAACTTAAACAATTTTCATATTTTCCGGCGAGGGATAGGTCCATGCTATAATGAGCAAAAATGGTTCCGGGAAAAGCACATTCTCAAAGGTTCGTATATGATCTCACTTACTCGATACCGTTCGCTGATGATTTATCAATGTGGGCTGCCATGCTGCTTTAGATGGCACCAGTAGTGGTGGGAATGTTATTGGAACAAGAATGATATTGTTGTTATGTCGCCTGGAAGCTGTTCTTTTGATGCCCATGTTCTTGAGATCATTTCTTGGTTGGTTTGATTAGATTTGTGTGTGGAGTTCTGATCATGAATCATAATACACATGCTCAGGTTTTCGTTGGCCATCCACATTATGAAGTTAGGTGGCAGCGTGATCTTTAAAGGAGAGAACTTGCTTGACATGGAACCGGAGGATAGGTCCCTTTCAGGGCTTTTGAGCTTTGAGTCCCCAGTTGAAATCCCTGGTGTCAGCAATATTGACTTCCTAAACATGGCTTACAATGCTCGAAGAAGAAAACTTGGTATCCCTGAGCTTGGTCCAATTGAGGTATCATTCCCTTTCCAAATGCTTTCCGCGAACTGTCTTTCGTTTGACGTTTTGTCGTATGTCGTTGCCTTTGAGAACATGTAAGTTGGATTAATCTCGATAGAGGTGACAAACAAGTAATCCAGTTCATTGACGAATTATATTTCCACTTTCTATGACATGGATCCTGTAAATCTTCACAGCCCCATTAGTTTCGTTCTGCCTGATATGTTTGTACGAAAGCGAAGTAATCTTGAGATATACTTATTAGTTTGCTCAACTAACTTCTGTTGACCTATCTTTTTTTAATTTTTTATTGCAGTTCTATGCGTACCTGTTTCCCAAGCTTGAGCTTATGAACATGACGAGTGATTTTCGAAACAGAAATGTTAGTGAAGGGTTCAGTGGTGGTGAAAGGAAGCGGAACGAGATTTTACAGCTTGAGGTAATGTTTCGTATCTGAATCTGTGTTCTGCTGAACTAAGTTCTATGTGATGGAGTTCTTTCATAAAAGTTTACATGGTTAAGCTTCCTTTTTAACCTAACGAATCAAATTGTTATATACTTCATTCAGACATTTTTTGGGTTGTTGCATACTCTATATTTGGCATCAGAAAGCACTTTTATGCAAGGTGCACTCAGGGTACTGTGTGCATGGATAAATGTAGGATAGGATATTTGTGGATTGGGACTGTATGTGATGTTCGTTTACATCATTGTAGAACTAACGAGAGGCCCCTTTCTGAGGAAACTTGGTAATTTCATGATTCAACAATTCGCTAGCAGCACAATCCCCTGATGAATGTCATTCTTCTTTGTCTAGTATGCCAATGCCTTCCTGCATATCTCAGGTTCTGGAAGCAGATTTGTCTGTATTAGATGAGATTGATTCTGGTCTAGATGCCGATGCTCTCCAAGATGTTGCAAAAGCAGTTAATGGACTCTTGACGCCTAAGAAGTCTGTTTTGATGGTTACACATTATCGACGGCTGTTGGAATTCATCCAGCCTTCCTATGGTTACACATTATCTCGTTAACATAATTTTGTTAAAATGACCGTCTTTCTTACAGCATCACCTGCATCCTATGGATTAGTTTCTTCCTCATGTTGATGTCTTCTATGCTTCTGTTAACTTTGTGAATCATCTTAATGTTAGCTAATGTGTGCTTGGTACGTATTCGTAGGAGGATGGAAGAATCATAAAGACTGGGGATACTAACATTGTAAGTGTTCTCGAGAAGGAAGGTTATAAAGCAATGTCTACCGCCTGAACAGTCAACGTATCGGGGAATAACGGTAATGCTAAGTGTATGGCATCTCCCATCTCTGTACTTGTTCTTGGGGATTCGGAACTTCACTGTTCATCAGTGTGTTTTATGTTCCTGGTGAAGATTGCTGTAAGTTTGCGATTATCTGGGAGCTCCATTCCGATCTTAGGTAACGTTTTGTAGTGTATACACACATATTTCTAGTACTTTGCCTAATATAGAATATAATGCAGCTTTTCTTTGTTTTCTTTCATCTGCTAGTTCGGCTGGTTCTTTTTGTCGGGACCAACAATGAGCCCACAATTGCGATCAATTCCTGCGTCTGTCGAAGTCTTCTTCTCTTTGCAAAAAGACAAAAGGATCAGAGGAGAGAAAGAAAAGGGATAAAGAAGGCAATTCCAGAGACCCGAAACATTTGAATAGGTTTTGCCAATTCACACTCAAGTGGAAAAATGACTATGCCGATCGTGTAACACGAGGAAGAAAATGGATATGTCACTCTTTCGTATGGATTACTCGCATACAAGTAAATATTACACTGATTGACAGACAACAGGCCAGTTAGACTGCTACCAATGGGACACCAATTTGATCAGTTGACAACATCTGAGAAACCAATCTCATCTCTGGCCTAGCCTGCGGATTGGTGTTCAAACATGCTGCAGCGACCCTCAAGACGTTCTCCAAGTCTTGCTTGATTAGAGCTGAAGGAGGAGAGAGACGCTGGTCTAGCAGATCATCCAACGGCAATGCTATGTCTGTCAAAGAGGAGGAGGCGAACGATAGCACGGTTTCCCCAGGATGGTTCCCTTTGATCACTTCCAGTGCCAACACTCCGAAGCTATACACATCGCATTTCTCCGTCACCCTCATTGTATACGCCAGCTCTGCCACAAAAAAATGAGAGTTGAAGCTCATCTACAATACTACTGAAAACAAAAGCAAAAAAGGATGAGAAATTGGGTTTTAACTGAAGGTACCTGGAGCAAGATATCCACGGGTGCCAGCCTGTGCAGTCCAATGGGAGGTATCAGTGTTGAGAAGCTTTGCAGTCCCAAAATCCGAAACTCGGACTTCGTAATCGGTATCCAACAGCACGTTATTGCTGGTTATATCTCGATGAACGATGGGTATGGTGCAATCGTGGTGCAAGTAAGACAAGGCATGAGCCACTCCTCTCACAATGTTGACCCTCTTCCACCAATCCAACTCCACGGCTTCCCCATCGTGGCTCAGAACTGAAGCTAAGCTCCCTCTCTCCAGGTACTCGTACACCAAGAAGGAGTGTCTAGAGTGAGAACAGAAACCATAGAGTTTCACAATGTTCCGGTGCCTTACCTCGGTCAACACTTTGATCTCGCTCAGGAACTCCCTCTGAAGCGCCCCATTGCTGTCGTGGAAACCGTGGAGCTTCTTCACTGCCACGTTGATTCCGGATGGCAGCCTGGCCTTGTACACCGTACCATAACCTCCCTTCCCAATGCAGTACCTGGAATCAAAGGTCTCGGTTGCTTTCACGATTTCAGAGTACATGATCTTCCCATCGAACCCAGGGGTGATCAAGATGTCCTCTTCCTGCTGCTGCTGTAGTGGTTGTGTTTCTGCCTCTCCCCTGCCATTCCGGTGAATGCAGAGCATTCCCAAAGCTAATAGCACAACAACCACGGCCAAGACAGGCAGGAAAATGACCAAGAACAAGAACATACGGCTCTTTTTTCTCGATGAACCGGTTCCTGGAGTAGAAGAAGGATTGCACCGCTGTAGACCCTCAATACTTCCACACAAGCCACTGTTGCCCTGTACATCTTCAATCGAAGCGTTTTGGAAGCTTCTACTGTTTGGAAGAGGACCCTGCAATCTGTTATAGGAAATGTCAACGGCGCGCAAGGGGATTTGTGCTAACCCATTTGGAATTGACCCAGAAAGGCTATTCCTTGACAGGTTCAGGAACTCCAAGCTTCCCAAGGAGCTCAGCCTCGATGGGATTGGGCCGGTGAGCGAGTTCCGGCTGAGATCGAGATTTGACAGATGAATCAGATTGCCCAGTTGATCTGGAATGCTTTCCCCGAACTGGTTGTTGCTGAGATTCAAGTAGTTCAGCTGAGAAAATTCGCCTATGCTAGCCGGAATTGACTGGTTGAACCTGTTAGAAGACAAATCGAGCAGCTCCAGCTCAGTAAATGATCTCAACTCTGGAGGGATAGGCCCTGAGAGTTGATTGCCGTAGAGTGCTAGCCTGACTAAAGAACTCAGCTTTCCAAGCTCTATGGGAAGTTGACCAACCAATTGATTGGAAGAAAGATTAAGCCCCTGCAGCCGAGAAACGTTACCAATCTCCGGCGGAATCTCACCCCTGATGTTGTTCTCAGAAATCAGAAGTGTAGCCAAATTGGGGCACGATCCCCAGTTGGATGATATCTCACCGTAGAAGTTATTCCGGCTGAGATCAATGTACTGCAAATCTGGGTAGACCCCGAAGTCATCAGAAATATTCCCGGTGAACTGATTATCTTCCAGACGAACCCGGACGAAGGTCGGGCAGGTCCTGAAGCTTCTAGGAACAGGGCCGGAGAAGTTGTTGGCATTGGCGGTGAAATTGATCAGCGATTGCTGACCTCCGCAGAGGTTCTCAGGTAGAACGCCGGAGAAATTGTTGCTGTCTAGCTGGAGAACCGTGAGCTTGGTGAGGTTCGCTATCTCCTTAGGGATTGAACCAGAGAGACGGTTCACACGAAGATACAAGATTTCCAATGTGCTCAAATTTCCAATTGAAGCAGGAACAGGGCCCGTGAGTCGATTCTCGCTCACCTCCAGATCTACAATGGACTCCAAGTTCCCCAGCTCTGGTGGAATCCCGCCGGAGAGCTGGTTCCCGTAGAGATGGAGCTGGACCAGGGATGTCAGCCGGCCAATCGACGGAGGAATTGGACCGGAGAGGTTGTTTGTATGGAGGCTGAGGAACTGGAGCGACCTGAGGTTCCCGATTTCGTCAGGAATTCGGCCGGAGAGTGAATTCATGAACATGTAGAGAGTAGTCAAGTTGGTCAATTTCCCGAAACTTGCCGGAATTGGACCGGATAACTGGTTGGTGTCGATGAAAAACTCGGTGAGTTCGGTCAAGTTACCGATTTCCGGGGGAATTGGACCGGAGATTGCATTGTCGTAGAGGTACAAGCGCTCCAATCTGGTCAAGTTCCCTATTGAAGAAGGAAGCGGGCCTTCGAGATAGTTGGTGTAGAGGGCGAGCTCGGTCAAGGACTCCAGCTGGCCGATCTCGTTGGGAATCGAGCCGTTCAGCTGGTTGTCAATGATGTGGAGGGTTTCCAGCTTTCTGAGGAGGCCGATTTCCGGCGGGATGACGCCGGAGAGCTGGTTGAGGGACACGTCGAAGTAGATGAGGTTGGCGAGCTGGCCGATTGCGGGTGGGATGATGCCGTAGAGCTGGTTTATGCTCAGCTCGAAGTAGGAGAGGCTGGGGAGCGAGGAAAAGGGGAAGTCTTCCAGCGTACCATTCAGGCCGGAGTTGGTGAGATTCAGCCGAAGCACGCTCCCGGCGGCGGTGCAGGAGACTCTGACGAAGCGGCAGGGGGTGGCGGCGGCGCGGGTGGCGTTGACCGGCCAGGTGGAGATGTTGGATTGGCGGAGGTCGTTAAGGGTGGAAGCCCATCGGAGGAGAGCGGCGGCTTCGGATGCGGAGTCGGAAGCTGCCGGGAGTGGTGAAGTGAGGAGAAGAAGGGAGTAGAGGATAAGAATAGGAAGAAGCTGAAGCGGCAGAGGTTGTTGGGTCCTCCTGTTGGAGGTTGTTTCATCAATTTCTTCTGCCATTTTTTGGGCTTTTGTTTGCTGGGAAACGTTGGTTTTTGGCTTTTGCTATGTTCATCTATTTTCCGGGAATGTGCTTCAAGCCGCGATGGATGGATGATTGCTTGCTGTTCGTGAAAGCAAATGTTGATTGGTCAACAGTCTGCCATTTGACAAATGGGATGCATTCCGATGGCGCGTCTTGGGCTCTTGGCTGAATGCTTTAGTTGACCTCGGAGTTTGTTCATACATGTTTGATCAGAAAGCACTAACGGAAGTTATGTGAAGGAGACTTCCACGATATGAGGTAATTTCAACACGATCGTATTGCCAAAAGATTTATCGATTAGTATTGAAATGATTTTCGTATCATATAGAAGCAGATGTTTATTTTAATGGAAATAAAGTTTTAAGTTCTTGACCATGGAGATTTGATTGGAAAAATTGAGTATGAAAATACATATCATGGGATGGTCTCCATGTGAGAACATCTTGATTTTTTTCCCTAATATAAATATTTTTTATAGAATATAAAATGTTATACGCTAACAAAATCAACTAATATTCCTCTAATTCATAAACTAATATAGAATGAATTAAAAATTAACCTACTACATGTACTTTCTCCAAACCATGACAATACATTACATGCCATGCCTAGTGGTAGGTAGCGAAATCAAAATATGTCAGTCGTCATGCAATTTGAAGTCAATGATCCTTAAAACTTACTTGTACGTGGCAAGTCATTGTCCTCTATTCTAAGTTTATTCTAGATCTATAATGCCTTTAGAGATCGTTACGATGAAGCAATTCAGATATTTTTACAAAACTAGTCATTTATAAACCATGTAGTATTGCTTCTTGTGCTTTTGCTATCTTGTTTGTACATTATATATTTCTAGTTTATTTTTTTTTATAAAGATTCAACTTTTATTTTGAAGGGTTTCTAAATATTGCATACTTGTTAGAAAATATTTAGAAGTATCCATTAAAATTGTCTTCTTCTTTGTTAATGAAAAAAATGAAATAGAAAAGTGAGAAGGAGAGAAAAGGAGACATAAATAAAAAATAGAAATTTAAATGATTTTCATAATCACAAAAATACTCTCAATTTTACCTTTGGATCTATAAAACTTGATCTAACGGTTGGAAGAGACATAGTCACTTGATCAACGACCCTTCTTAATCATGAAATCCCCACCCAAACTTGTTGGATGCAGATCTTATGACCTTTGCACATCACCCTTTTTCCTTGTATTTGTTTCTCTAATTTTGTATGCACTCCGTTTCGGTTGATGCTATGTTTATAGCATCTATCCTCTTTTTTTTTTCCCTAAAATTTTATCCTGGTTAATTAATAATACTGAATCACCATTATAAAAAAATGAATTGTAGAAAAATATTTTTTGGTGTATTTTAACTGTATTCATAGATTTTTACTAATGGGTATTTATTGAGAATCTATCAGAACATGTACACATTCAACACAAATGAGAGATATAAAGCGAGTCTGGATAAAATCCGAACTTGAATGCCGGAGACACAAGGCATGAATTAACTTATACTATTAGTCAACTCGCGCTTGTATATGTATATGTGTATAATTATATACTCATTTATTATTTAAAATTATAAATTATGTATTTGAGGAATATAGGCATTGCATACAATCACAACGTACCAATCTTTTGTTCTATGTAGGAATTCCATCTAGACAAAAGTTGAGGGTTCAAATTGATAAGTCCCGGTTAGTCCAATGACTAAATTAGATAATTAAAAGGAGAAGAGGGACTAAATTAGATAATTAAATAGAACCGCAAAACTGAAGCCACTAGCCTCTAGGTCTAGGCCATTCTAGCTTACTCTGCAGGCAAGCAACCGACTGACATCTCTTCGCTCAGCACACGCCGCGGCTTTTTGGTCACGAAACGAATCCTCTTTCTTTTAGATCGTCATTCTCCTCCTCCTGCCACCGCTCAATCTCGGAGCTAGCCGGCGATCGGAAATTAGAAGTTCCCATATTGACGACGATCTCTGTTCCGATTCAGATGGAGGGAAGAGGGAGAATGCTGCCGCTGCTGGCTCTTCACGCCGTCGCCGAGTACTACAGACTGCCATGGAAACCTCCCGTCACGGCGGGACTAATCGCCGCCAATACCCTCGTCTACCTGAAGCCCGCTTTCCTCCGCCACCTCCTCCCTTCCATCGAGGAGGTCTGGTTCAATCCCCACCTCATTCTCAAGGTAAACCCTCCTCTGTTTTCCCTCAATTTGCGCATAATTCTTGCTCGCTACCTGTTTGATTGATTGCCCGGGAGATACTTGTTTCAGATAATCCCATGAATTGCTTGTGAGATTAGTTAAGGAAATAACTTGGCTGCTTCCCGTTGAGTCCAAAACCTGAACATTTGGGGTTCTTCATTTTGCCCTGTTAAGTGAACAGAACAAGGATGCGAGGCGCTTCTTCCTATCACCATTCTACCACATCAACGAGTCCCACTTGGTCTACAACATGATTTCACTCCTATGGAAGGGGATCCAGCTGGAAACCTCAATGGGAAGTCTCGAATTCGCATCCATGGTCGCCGCACTCCTCACCATGTCCCAAGGGATCACGATGCTGCTGGCCAAGACCCTCGTCGTGTTTCTCGACTACCCCAAGCCGTTCTACTCTGAATATGCTGTCGGGTTCTCGGGAGTGCTGTTTGCGATGAAGGTTGTCCTCAATTCTCAGTCCGCAGACTATGCTCACGTGCACGGACTGGTGGTGCCATCTCGATATGCTGCTTGGGCTGAACTAATTCTCATCCAAATGTTTGCCCCTGGCGTCTCGTTCCTTGGCCACCTTGGTGGCATTCTGGCAGGGATGCTCTATCTCAAACTCAAGGGCGAGTACTCGGGCTCGGGCTCAGGCTCGGGCTCGGGCTCAGACCCTTTGGTTAGAATGCTCAGAGGTCTTGTTGGCATAGCGAGCTGGCCACTGAGGGCTGCAAGAGGATTGTTTCAACCCAGGAGGATGCCACGTGTCTCCGGGAGGGGAACAGTCGGCAGGGAAACGAGAGACGGGTTGTCGGGTATATGGAGATGCCATGCTTGTACATTTGATAATTCGGGTTGGTTAAGCGAGTGTGAGATGTGTGGAACAAGGCGTGGAGGCTCAATGGATGAGATTGGGATTCAAGAAATGCGTATGCGGAGGATTCAGAGATTTGGTTGATATCAAGGCTCGGTAATAGGTACGACATACTCCTTGTTCGATACAGATTTTGATGATGTTTCACAGTTGCATAAGGATGTAGGGTCTGCTGGATGTTCAGTGTAATGCTAAGTTGAGCCTTGAACAGCGTATACATCAAACAGATGGCCGATTTACTTATCCTTACAATTGTTTTATCTTTTATGGTTTGTATATTTGAATGCAAGAATAGCAAAAGCTGGATATGACGATATTGGAAATGCAGATATCTTCTGCAGACAAGTAGCCCTAGTTAGTTGATGGTTCAAATTCATCAGTTCAATTACTGTGTCTCCTTTGTGTTTCAGCACTAGAGTATGATGATGGCCTCTGGCCTCCGCGATACCTTAATGCGTTAAAACATCGTTAAGAATTAGTCCAATGAACATTGTACAATAGCATCCAAGTGAATACCGTTCTGATTTCCACCCCTAATTCTAATGCATGTTAGTTTCAGCTGCTGATCTCATTTAGGATTAGTGCCTGTAATGACAAATGAGTCAATCAGCATTGCAATTGGCAATTCATTGCTATTCAGAAAGATGCCTCCAACGGGCTACAATATCACTATATCAGCAACTATATTTCCATCTCCCTTTTTGTGAAACAACTTATTGACCGCCCTTAAAAGATGAACAACAAGAACAAGAATTAAATAATCAATCAATGAAATAAATCTAACATGATTAAGGAATGAATAGAGTGGATGCAAGATTTTTGGATTGTAAGGTTGCATGCACTAAAAATTTGTTTAAATGTTTGAGAAAAAGTTTTGAACGATATAACTTGACAATTAATTATTGCTCATTTTAAATACAATGTCGACTCTTTAGTAATTAAAGGTTGGATCTTGAGTTGCTGATAATTTAATTGTACATCTTCCCTACACACGATGTATTTTGGGTGTTGACTAGACAAAGCAGTCCGGTCCTAATAATTTCATTGTCATCAAGTTGACCTTTTTGTGACCGGTCCTCTTTCTCTTCCAATGTATATAATACTTTAATGTTGTTTCTTCAAATGATTTCTCTTGCAAAAAATTCTTGAGTTTATGGTCAAGATTTTTAAATATACCGTCAAGTATATATACAATTGTATTTTCCCAAGCTTTTTGGGCTATAATTTGAGATGAACTTACTTCTTAATGAATTTGCCAACCGCATAAGGTTTCATGTTCTTTGAGATTATAGCTACTATCAAACTTCCAGCTTTTTGTCGAAGTAATTAAATAACGTCTTTCCAAACATGTCTTCTTGATACTTAACTTTGTTGGCGTCTTTTATATTTGCAAGGTTCTCATGTAAGAGACAAATTTTCATATTTTTCTCTCTATATCTTATTTTTTTATGCACACAAGTTCAATATTTTTCATGTGATGAAGATGATAGTAAGCATGAGTTATAGCTCGGAAAGAATTGGGAATTGTCTATGAAACGCTACATGAACATTTATAAAGGTTTAAAACAGGTAATTCTTATTTGTTTATGAAGTCATAAATCATAATGATGCTTACTGCTTAGGGTAAGTATTAAAATCAAGTTTTGATCAGTTGCTTGCCGCTGTGGCAGCAACAGAACAAATTATACGAAACAGGGGAAGTTAGTTAGTTAGTTAGGTTTAGGGGGCTTCGCGGGTTGATTTAGTAATTATTTAACTTCGATATAAAACCCACAACCACAAAGTGGAACACTTGAATAAATCCTAGAAACAAGGCAGCTTCTTCCTCCGCCGCTCGCTCAAGCTCAATTCCTCTGGCTTTGACGGTTGCAGTCTGTAGCAGAAAAACTGCCATGGCGAAGAAGGAGGCGGGTGTGGAAGAGGATGACGTGGATTCTTTTTTAGCGAGTTTGGATCCTGAATGCGAATACTGCCCTCCCCAGCTGGTGCAGAAGCTGTTTGAGTCGAGGGCAATCGGTTGCATCACCGCACTTCTGGATCGCAAAGTCGCTCACAATCAGCTCGATCTCCGCCGTCGGCTAGCAAACGGCCAACGGCCGATGTGCTATGCTGCTAAGCTAGGGTTTCATCAGGGGTTACAGCTTTTTCTTCGCCATCGGATTCATCCCACGGATAATTTCTTGCCGGACGGTTCGGATTCCTATTCAAATATTCCTAAGGATGAATATGGGGGTGAAGTCATCGACTTGGCATTCGAGGCAAGTTGCGAGGAAAGGAAGAAGAAGCTGGGTGAAGAAATTACCCTCTCTCAGTTGATCCTCTGGCTGCCGGAATGGATCTCCGAGCCCGGCAATTTTGCCTGGTGGCACACCGTGAAGCTGCTGGGACGCACCTGTTCCATTAACATCGAGTCGAAAGCCTTGGAGTATGCAGTCAATGGCCAGGCGACACAGCTGCTCTGGCTTCTGCTTGTAGTCCCTGATCGAGTTCTCTCCCCGACATTCTTTCGCGCCATACCAATGTTTAAGGATCGTCTGGAGCTTTTCTCCCTCCGCGATTTCCTTACCGCTCAGCTAGCAGTCGTGACCGCTGACAGCCTCAGCATTCGACACCACGATCCCAGCCAAATGAGCAACAAGTCGTCGTCTTTGGAGTTGAAGAGGTTGATTCTTGCCACTTCCCTGCGATTACTTGAAGTCTTTCACAGGGCTGGCCCCCAGTTGACTTTCTTAGTGGCAACCTTAGAAAAGGAGCATCTTTCGAATACCCCAATTGCTCAACAGGTCAAGACTGTGTTAGAGGGAGCTGGGTTCCCCTTGACTTCTCTGGATTGGTACTTCTATCAACTTACCCCGCACCAGCTTCCACTTGGTTGTTTTTATAAAGTTTCAATCTTTATGACATAATAATCTCTGTCTCTGTGTGTTTTTGTTGCCTTGACAGCCCTATTATATCACATCCCTATCATTCAGAGATTAAAGACTATGCCAGGTAACTATCCCAGCCTTATAACTGTAGTAACCAAGAAGTTTCTATTCCCAACACCACCAGTCACAGCAGCCTTGCATTCCGTTATACCGCTTCCTGTTAATCACTTGCATTGTCTTGTCTGTCTTGCTATCTCCCTCGCATTCAGTTGGGATTGAAGTTGTAGGTTTCTGTCTGTGTTAGATGTGAAAAGAACGAATCCTATGTTCAAGGTGTCTTTTCTTACTGTTTATGCATTTGACTTGTTCCAAAGTTAATCGCTGATTGGTATTACCGTGTAGTGCAAGCCATAAAGAAGCATATCTCGAATTGGTCTTCTTGATTCGACCGGTGCATGTTTGCAGAAGTGAAGTTCTTGGTTCACGATTCAGTAGGGCTATTGGGAAGTTGTGGTAATTCTATTCACTACTTGGTTTTGTTATGCCATTCTCACTTCTCAGTACAGGCAAAACTTACACGTTCCATTCTGGATTTAGTGCTTGAATACCATGCACAAATGTGTCTATGATTCACTGTTGTTTCTTGGCCTTCTGCAGCCATCATCCTTATCTGAAGGAATGGAGCCCCCAAAATTCTGTTTTCAAGTTGCTTTTCATATTTTGCCTCCCTGACTTGGTTTGAATTTTCCTCTTGAACTCGTTGTGTCTCTCAATCCTTTTGTGCCACAATAGTTTTATGGGAAACATTTTTTTTGCTTTCTCATCTATGATGTGCTATTCGTAACACCTACAGGTAGAAAAGATGCAATGCATGCTGCAGTTACAGCTTAAGCATCGTAACCCTGCCAAGGTCATCTGTCCCACCTATCTTGCCGAATTATGTTTCATCTATATGACAGAGGGGCGGATTGTTGAGTTCACAGCTGCTCTAATGGCCGTACAAATTCTTCTTCGGCTGGACCATCCACTAATTCCTCAAATGTCTTTCCATACAGTGGGCAATAAAAAGTCTCCCCCAACTGTTTATGAATATTTACTGCATCAATTGAAGAAAGTGCTTGACGAAGAAATCTCCTTAACCGGAAAAAGCGAGGACAGTGTTACTGTTCAGCTTGTCAAGGAGAAACAATCGGTGATTTCTTCTGCATTATTATTAACAAAGATATTCGAAAGGTCTGCACAACATATAAATTGGTATCTTCACTCAGCAAGATATGAGGTTTGTATCTTGTCCTTGCCATTTCTGTTTAATTAAGTGTTATAGCTTGTTGCCAAAGGTGCAACCTTCTTGTTTTTTTTTTGCTGCTTATAACTTCTAACAGGTAATACAAGAACGTGGGGATTTGAAACTGATTGTAGATGATGTTGCTTCCTTTCTTGAAGACTCGGGCTTTTTGTTAACATCTCAAGACATTTGTGTGAATCACATGGAGTGGTAAGCGTCGGTTGTTCTTTGACGTCTTCCCCCCTCTCGACTGACGATTTAACATGTTTGGCAACTCTTGTTTCTATGATTCTCCATCAACCTGTCGTAGTTTCCTTTTGTCCTTCCAACTAAGTGTTGCAGTTTCCTCAATGTCTTCTCTAATTCTGTGTTTGGGTGTCTGTGTTAGTTTCTCAAGCAAATCAAGTGTTAGCAAAACTGAGTTAAAAGGAGATTCATGGCTGTTTGGGCCACATATGCAGAGAGCTTCATGTGTAAAGGTCTCTTGAAATCTTTGTACAATCTTGATTTAATATTAAGTTCCCTTCCCTGCTTCATTCATCAGAAAACTGTGAACATCCTTGCTTCTTCAAACATCTCTACTACCTTCATTCAATATGAACATTGTTGCTTGGTTGTTCCATCATATGTAATTGTGCAGGAGAAGAAAGCAACTGGAGTGTCGAAGGCAATAATGTCAGCCGAAAACATTAAATCTTCTTTGCTTGTTGGTTCATCCATTAACAAGCTTTCAGCACGCTCTTATCACTCATTCCCAATGCTTAGGTATGGAGCATCTAAGGGCGTCTTGGTGCCTACACAAGATGGGGTCAATTTGTTAACGAAAGGGGTCGAGTCTGCAAGATGGTCAGATTCTATACTGAGAAAGAGCTCGAGGTGTTTGACAATGACTAGGAGAATAATTTTGCGTCTGTAACTCTACCCGGGGCTTTACTCGTGTTGTAGTAGTAGTCATTGTTACTTAATAGACTTGTAGTCATTGTTACACAATAGACTTTGAGAGTAGAGCAGGTTGAACTATTGTTCCTAGAACATCAGAAAACTGTGCCAAGACTTATTTTCTTCTTCTTCATCATCATTTCTGCATTCAAAATCAAGTCTCATGTAAAAGTGAACGGCCTTTGTTCCTTCTCTTCTTTTGTACCCTGTGTATCTTCTCTGATATAATCGAGAAATCCTTTTCTTGTTACTGTTTTCAAGGCAAATGGCAGAAAATGGAAGGAGTCCCCTTTGTTACTTGAATATGGATACTTGCAATTTGGTCAGAAAACTGATCGGTACTGTTTTAGTATAATGGTAACCAAGACCCCCCTGCAGTAGAAGAATCACTACCCAAACCCACTCCAAGATAATCATGCAAATAAGGCTTATCATAAAGGGCTACTCACCAATCTGTTTCCAGTATCCGCACAACGGTTTTGACAGTTGTGTTGGATTGCAACTTACAAAGGTGTAGTAATAATTCATTGACTTGTCTTTATTGGAGCTTCCTGCATTGGGATACAAACTGCAAACTGAAGATTCTTGAATCAATGTAGCTTGTTGGTACATGGCAGAGAGTAGTGGAGTGCAACTGTGCAAGGTCTGATTCTGTGAAAGAAATCAATAAGGGCGGTTATAGGACATGCTAGATAATTGAACAAAGCATCATATCACATGGGATTCATAAAATGTACCATATTACACTCGTCAACCTTAAAGTTGACATGTCAACTCCTCACTGATTCTCTTCCTTATGCTTGCTCCATCTTCTTGATGCACTCTGAGTATGTCCCATGAAGAAATCAAATTTTCAGCAAATGACAAATCGTTTAATCAGTCACTGATTTCCGACTTTGATGGGGTCTCTTATGCCTGGTGCAAACACTAAACGATTGAAGGAGCATCTATTTTGGTAGATGGTGTACTGTCACAACCTTAGAAGGGGTATAAATCATCATCGTGTAGAATCTATAATATGGAACTACATGAACACAGGTCATACCGTGAGTATGAACCACAATCATTACATGTTCCTTCTCTGACAATCAAGATCAAAGAGGCCTCATGGTTGGTAAATAAGGCAACGAGTAAAACACTAGGACATGCAATGAACATGGAACCATGATCATAATAGCAACAATAATTCATAAGACAGTGCAGAGCGAAAAGACGTAATCATTACAGCAAAGTTTGTAAGCGGGGACATGATACCACCAGTACCTCTAAAAGCTCCCCAGTGTCAAGTAATGACTTATCTTGGTTGTGGCAGGAAGCTGGAAGGACGTAGGAAATTGAGCTGATCAAATACCAAAATATGGGAAATAAGATCCAAGTCTAATCAGTTCGGACTTGTTATTGAAGGAGGACCATGCAAACTTAATTGGAAAACTATCCTTCACACAACCAATACTATTATAGAATCGACATCTTGCATGCAAATCCTGGCATCCATTTCCCTCTCCTCATCTTGCAAGTTTGCAGAGCAATATTTGAGATTTCTTTTGACCAAGAAAGTTGTTGCTATTGTTTCTAACCTTGTATTATGCTTTCTCAACTTACATAACTTGTCTTCCATCAAGGGAATGGAATCAGAGAAGGAGATTTCAAAATTTGTTATAATAAAGAAAATTGCTGACCATGGGAAGTTCACGAGGCAATTAAAAAGATACAGAAGCACTCAGTACTTACTCAACCCCTTGACCACTTTCGTCAATACATAGAGCACGGATGACGGATTCCCTAATCCTAGATGCCAAAATCTCTTAATAACACAGTTCATTGAGAAGAAAACAACGTCAAGGTAGTCGACGTCCCGGGGAAGATGGTTAATCAAAAGCTTTTGCAGAAGAGAGACAAGAACTCTTTTCACATTTGTATCCACCTCTCCCCACTTCTTTTAGAATCGGACTGCTTCACTACACATCTCAATAGTAGCAGTAAGATTCTCCATGGGTAGCCGAGAGACCAACTGATCAAGTTCACAATATCAGAACTTAGGATGGATGTCATATCAGAGGAAAATCAACCCCCACCCCGGACTCTATATAGAATCAGTTTAAAAACTGCTATGTCATTTCAAATTGCTGGACTGACCGTTTGCAGACCAATGTCATGTATAGCAAGCTACTCAGCGACCAGATAATGAGTCACTGGAGTACTATCATCTTCTACCATCACATATATACCACTAGGGCTGGGCATGCGGGCGGATCATCCGCGGGTTTGGGCCGACCCACCCGCATTTGACCCGAATTTCGTTAAGTGGGTGGGTCTATGGGTGGGTGACGGGTTGCGTTGGGAGCCATCCGCCGGGTGGTGGGTGGGTGCGCGGGTGACCCGCTCAACCCAACAGCAAAAAGATCAAAGTTGTCGGCGCTAGAGAGGGGAGAGTGGAGACGTTAGACATAAACTAGGAATGCTCCTGGAGTTTGAACCTCAAAGCCAACCTTCCAAATAGCGATCCCCTCTTGTTCCCTTTATTTTTTCTTCTATTTCTTGTGCATAGATCACTGCTCTTTCCTTTGTGGAATTATTTTTCTTAGTTCCTTGCACCTGAAAATCATCTCAATCTGTAGAAAACTCTTTCATAATAGAATTTCTATCCATTTTAAGAACTAATTTGACATTTTTCACCCTATTTCATCTTCTTGTTTCCCCAGATAATTCTCTTCGCCTATTATCATGTCAAGTTGACTCCTTTATATTATATACATTGTGGTGTGGGTGAACCCACAAACCCACCCAAATCATCCACCATCCGCCCGACCCAACCCGAGACTAGATATGGGTGGGTGGTGGGTTAAAAATTATCAATCCATTTAAGCGCGGGTGGGTGCATTTTATGGTCAAAATCCACCCGACCCACCCAATGCCCACCCCTATATACCACTATGAAAGCAAGAGAACCCACCACAAATATACCACTATGCAGATGCCAAATTCTCCTCCTAGTATCTCAACATAACTAATTTACAACACATCTGACATCTTCCTTTACTGGACATATGAAAGCAAAGGAATTGGGAAACAAAATTAATGCTCAATTGCATGTAACGGGTGTAAAACATAAATCACAACTTGGGTTTCAGCTTTCCTGCTTGCCCTCCTCAAATCACATATCATCATGGCAAACTTTGTAACTACTTGATTTCAAGAATATGAAAAATCAAACAAGATTTAGACCCATTATGACAAACTTTGATTCTGAAACTCGAATTCTTCCTGCTCATTTGCCTCCAATATAAACAAACTTCGTAATTGGAGTGGAACCTCGATGTTGCATTTCCAACAACCACCACACGATCAATCATTGAGTGAAAATCACATAACTATCTTCCTCATCATATAACACCCGCAAGGACACTTTATTCAAGCACTAACATAGAAAAACAACAAACTTTCTCACCAGCGGTGGCGACCGCCCTTCTGTTAAGCAATAACATGGGGGATAACATTTCCTCTGCGCTTATATGCTCCTTACATGCCTATTCAAGCACTCACTTTACACCCACCAATACGTAATTTGAGCAAACTGCAATGAAGTGGAAAAATTGAATACCAGCTGCTGATTAATACCACATGCATTTGGTCAGTAGAAGGAAAAATAACCTGGGGCACAAAACTTTTGTTGTGTGCTGCAATCACAATTTTCCTTGCAACACACTTCAACTACTACACTTTCTGTTCAAACATAAGCGATGAGATGCAGACAATAGAAGTAGCCACCACTACAAAATAAATGGTCACTACATGCAAGAATTGAGCTTCCCCTAAGATTTCCATAGACCACGCATCAAAAATGATCCGAAATGAAAATTATATTATGAAACAAAGTCTACTCACTGCATTCTGAAAGGGGAGTAAAAACTACGACAACCTTTACAAGACACCCTGCCTAGTAGTAAGGGTGTCTTCACCGTAGTCTTTAAAGGATGTTTATATTGATCTCAAAACAAATGAAACAGTGTCATACTTTATTCAGTACAGTGACCAATTGAGTAACCCCATTGAAAAGCAAAAATATTACTTCAAGTTCTGTGTCTCAGAGAACTACACATTTTCTTGAGCATTGCAAGCGTCCTAGAACAGATTTCACTCCACAATCAGAGTCAACTATTATGCAAGTTGAAGAGACTATTCAATAAAATTAACCTGTTTATCAAAACCAAGGATGCTGTAGATCAGGACTCAAGTAGAGAACAAAAGATAATATGGTACATGGACTTGAATAAACAATAGATCATTGTTTGCTATGGGGTTCTTAAGTTCTCTTCCAGGATCTCAAGTCCTAAACTACAACACAATGAACTCCCATCAGAATGAATGAATCTTGCTAAAATAAACTGACACCATATATAACCAATTCCCAGGTTGCCTTCTAGGAGCTGCCATGTCATCTCAGAACATTCAAGTCTACATCTTGCTTCTGGAAAAAAAATATGGATAAAGCACATCTTGGGTTTATGTACCTGACTGCAGAATACTGCATCGAGCACTTCCAGTCCACAAAATATTGTGGAAATTGGTGAATCGGTCATGGAGGGGAGCATTGTTGTCATATCGGCATCTTGCTTCCAGAACCAACAAGGACAACACAGTTTCAAGCTCAGTTGTGGTATACTAATGTAGCACTACTTATTTCCTAGTTCTGCACTTAAGACTCCAAATATGACTTCAAATCTACGAAACAGCAGATAACCATCAAATTTGACGTGGACAGAAGGGAAAATAGAACATAAACATTCCAATCTTAGTTGCTGTTAGAACTGGACATAACTTTCAGTTAGAAAAAAAAAATTCTTTAAGGACTGCCAATCCATAGATAACAGTCCCCAATCACGATTTCGATTTGAGGGAAGGCAACTAGAATGAATGAACAAATGAACATATCAATTCAATTATAAGCCAAATCCAGACACAACTTTTAGCACCCTTGTTTTGAAAGAGGGGCAGTTGGAATCAGTAAATGATCATATCTGATAGTTCCCTTTTTGAAGCAAAAAGGGTAGTATGAATGAACAAGTGAACATATCAATTCAATTATAAGCCAAATCCAGACACAACTTTTAGCACCCTTGTTTTGAAAGAGGGGGCAGTTGGAATAAGTAAATGATCATATCTGATAGTTCCCTTTTTGAAGCAAAAAGGCAAGGAATCTGTTATTGATCAACTCAAAGTTCTAATTTAGGTCTCCATTTAGGAAATGGAAGAACAATTTGAAATACAGTAAGCATTTGAT